CCCCTATAGTCCCATAAGATCGTCGAGATTGTACGCTTATTGTTACTTAAAACCCGCCCCTTGCCTCCTACTCTTCATACTCATTCCCAATGTTACACTATATGTACATTCGAAATCATATATGGCCGCGCCCGTACAAGACAGTAAAATGTATTTAGAATTTAGAATTTTCACGTTCTCTCAAACAATTTAAGTTTGCTCTGTCACAGAGGTTTCCTATCAGACACACAGTCTCTCAGTTGCTTTTGGTGACATTTAAAAGATTTTTTGTAGTCATTACGTAACTGAGATACACTTAAAAAGGTGTGATATTTTGCCGGATACAGTAAACACCAGTATATACTGACCCTTTTTTTACTTCATCAGTCTGAAATGGGTCTTTTTTGAATGGAGAATGTTTTTAAAGTAGGGAGCTAATTTAGCTAGATTTCAGTCTGTAGAGCCTTAAGAGTTTCCTTTAGGCTACCCTGGTCCCAGAGGATTTTCTTTAAATTTGTCTTCACGTGAAAGAGAACGAGCCCGTCAAAGGGCGAAAGAGAGTCGTGAAATTCAAGGAAAACCCCTGGGACCAGGGTACTTCTATTTAGGCGAGTTTCTGTCATGTTTTGAAATATCATATATCTGAAAAGGAAAGAACACTGAACATATCACGTCAGGCTAGTAGTCACAGCGTAAGAGCCTGGGCCAGATTACCGAGTGAACCGAAAGGTTCTAGATATCTGAATATAGCCGTTTTGTATCAAATTGACGCTGAATTGGTTAAACGCCACATGTTATATCGCCAAAACCAAGCTGAAACGAGATTTAAAAAGTTGTATGCGGGCAGTTGAAACTAGGTCCTTCTTAAATCTAGAACTCAGTATCTCTCCAGGAACCCTTCGATTGGTCTGGCCAGTGACCTAAAGGGGAATCTAGTCCGTTCCATGTGATTATTCGGACCGCCTCCATCTTCCGAGTCACTCAACTTCACCTTAACCTCGTTCCCAGGCTTCTCCCTCAAGAGATGGCAGGGAAGGGGCTGGGGAGGACTCGGTCATTGTTAGCTCTTCAATTTTCTTTTTCGAGGTAAGATTCGTCGATAAAAGAAACACAACACACAAGATCGCCCGCTTTTTGGGAGCAAATGCATAACAGTCACTGGTAGGGTCACAACAGGATCAAATGTTACTGCAGGCTTCTATTAAAAACCTTCACATTCTGACATAATTCACCAGGTTTAGTATGAAATTAATGGATTGTATTCTTTTCATTGCAGAGTTTACGGAAGACCAGCCAGCCCATCATAAAACCTTTGAAAGATTAATTTACTTGTTAATAGCCACGAGTGTTAAGACCAACGAACCCTCGCCCAATAAAAAAAAATAATTTAACAAAGTCCTTGATGTACATGTGGTGTATTTTGATATGATTACGGTGTAAAATTTTATGCGTGGCATCTTATGGGGAAATTGCATGGCCTACATATCATAATGTTAAATCGTGGCTGCTGACGTACTAAGGAAGTTATATTTGATGGCGTAATGCAGCAACAACAGCCAAAAGAATGTTTTTGTGCGAAAGGTTTCATTACGATATGTTTCCGAATTTTGTTCTCTCTATATTCACCATTAATATTGAAAATCGCCATTTTACTTTAGATAAGGATGAAAACACGACAGTAAAGAAATATAAACTAAGGTAACTCGGCTGCACTAAAAGAAGAATCATCAACAAAAGTTGAACATTTTGTATCGATTATCCTGTGTATGAAATTTTAATATAGTAATTTAGAAGTTCCAAAAAGCATCTATAGCGAAAAATCTAAAAATTAGGGCGTCTCTTAGTGATGCGGAAGATATTGTTGGTTCTCTTTTGTTTTGTGTTGTGGGTATTGTGACTTTTCAACGTTTTGCAATAAGTCGACATTTGGTGAAAGCACGACGAGTCCGCAACACCAAGAAACTATCAAAAATCACTGCAGTGCTCATGCATGACCAACTCAGTTGTTCGGATGTTTAAATGCTGGACTACGTCGTCCCTCGGTATTTTACAGCAGCTAATGAGAACTAGAACTAAAATAATACTCCCATCCCTCTTCTCCCTTCCTAAGAATGGTACTAAAAAGGTCCAAGGTTCATTTAATTTTACAGCCACCATTTACAGAAATTAAACGTCTGACAGATGCAGAGTTATGGACGTTACATGATCTGTTGAATAATTAAAAAGATAAAAATAAATTGCAGATATTACAATATAGGATGTATGGAAGTAACCTACGTAACATACTCGACCAGTTTGCCTGCAAAAACGTCCCCAGTGATAACTATTGGCCTACTTGCGTCAATTCTTTGGTTACAAATGAATTAGTATTTTAAAAAAACTCACTGTACCAACAAAAGCATAATTCATTTGGTTACAGTGATCAGGAAAAGGGACATATTTCCATTTACTGATTAAGTGAAATGAGTTGAATAGGTTACTCGTTATCAGAACAGTCGTTTTTATTTATTGAAAGTTTTAAATCCATTCCGGGGCAGTAAGCGTTTGGTATTGAAAACAATCTGAACAGCATTAATTTACACTTACTGGTTTTAATAAAAGCCATTTCTACAAAACTGCGATATTTTCAAATAATTTCAGTCGTTCTAAATTTTAGGTTGATTGAAAAGAAAAAAAAAGGACAAAAATCACTTTTGAATCTAAATCTCAAGGTAACTTACTGATAAAAGAATTTTTATTCTTGGTTATGATGCACGATCAAAAAATATTACAATTTTTGCCTTGAGCAAAAATATAGATCAAAACATAGTGTCAGCCACAAGCGTATTTTCAACTGGAGGAAAGGAAATTTGAACTAGGGTATTAAACACTCAGTGTCAAATCTGCCATTTCCCCTCAAGACGTAGCAAGCATCAATTAAGGAAAGGACGAAAATGTAAAGAATAGAAAACAGACAATGAAAGGAGAAAAAGCTAAAGCAGGAATAGTTATGGCTTTAAACCAATCCGCTTTCTAAACCATTTTATTCTTGAGAACGTAGAGAATCTGTTACTACAAAAGATGATAAAAACATTTAGATAAGCTGGGCAAATAATTAAAGGAGCGTGACTTGTGTTAGGAGAAGTAAAAAGTCGTCATTAAAAACTCAAATTAAGACCTATTACAAAATTATTTTCATAGCATCCGGAATTGAAAACCTTCTTATCCGATCTTACATTGTACATGTTTAAATTAACAGGAACATAAAAAGTTTAAAAAAAGCTTCCAAAAGCTATGGAGAAAATGTCAGTTAGCGCAATTTTGGCCAAGCCTTTTGCCTTTTTCTTTTGAAACCCTTGTAAGCAGACGTATGTCATTTTGCAGTAGAACAGATAAATATCTTACTCATGGATTTATTTTATTACATAAAAAGGCGGAGAACTAATTGTGACAAGCCATGAAAAAGACGCTAGTTGCTAATGAGGTGGTAGCGGATATGAACATTACCCTACTAATTGTGAGTGGTGGGAAAACATTTGTTCCGTTCAATGCGAGGGAAGAACAATTTTTAATGATGATAACTGAAAGGGTGATTAAGAAAAATAATTGAAATGTTGATGGTGACAATGCTTAAGAAATTTAGCTATAAAAGATTTATTGTTTCCATGACTGAATTCAGTCATCATATATCAGAACCAGTGGCCGAGCGCTGGCTCAGAGGCTCTTGTAAGTGCGAAGCCCTGTTTAGGAAAAAGAAACATTTTGGGGGTAGGTAGTACATTCTTAGCATACAGCAACTTGATCGTAATTATTAGATTTAAACTTGAACGAAAGAGGCAGACAAAGCGATATAATTTTGACTTTTAAGTTATATGACTGATTACTATTGTTAGGTTCTAGGCATTTTGTGATTGTTTAAAAAACACTCAGTTTCTTTCTTTTTTTGAAGCATCAAACAAGAAGAATGCCTAATTGTTAATATCCCCGTAGCTTTGATATGAATTTATGTTAGGAAATGTTATCAGAACTTGACTTGCAAACAAGGTCAGTTTTAATGCAAGTTACACTGTCAACACCTAAGGAAGAGCCTAGTAAATGCAAACTTATTTAATACGTTACTATTCATCTTGTGCACTGAGATTCGAAAATCAGTCATATCGATTTGATAAATCATTGCATGAAGGTTTCGTGTTTCGTCAGTGTGGGCAGTGAAAAACACAGAATTGGTTTATCAACTTTCAGTATCGATACAGTCCTTTACTAAAGTAACAAAGGTTCAAGTGAGAAGCTGACGTTTGAAGCTCACTCCCGCATCGAGAAGTCAGAGACGCCGATCAAACAAAATTTTGGCATTGAGAATTTTACTCTGACTCTTGTTTACAAAAGGCGAAAAAGACAAAGAAATAGTAACACAATCATCTAATTGTTTTTCGCTACAAAAAAGAACGAGATAATCTTGAAAAAAAAATTGGAAACTATCAATATCAATTTAGCGATAAGGAATTGACTATCTTCTATCGTGTTCTTTTTGTTCGTTTCTTTCAGTGATTGTGATTCAGGGCCCTACTTTAAATATTTTGCTAATCTATGTGCATAACATGCATGAGTACATGATTAGCGAGTTTGGTCCCTTCCTTCTTTGTCTCATATCTCGCTTTTTTTCGTATTTTTCGTTCAAGAGACATACACGTTACATAATAAAACGCCATATGAATATCTTGTTTAACAATTTCACATACATAAAGCAGATCAAAAACTAACGCAATCTCGTCTGTTCAATATTTCTTACCATTACAAAGGCGAAATCTTGCCGGGAAATATTCAACTGAATGACCTTTTTTACCATGTTCTTTGTATGAAATCTTATCTTATCAAATCGCAGAGACGTGTCCCTTTTAAAGGGATACATTTTTTTCAGTTGGGGTCACCACCATCTAATAAGGCCAAAATTCGGTGTTTTACTATTTTGCAATCATATCAAATTGAATTTTAGTATTTTTAATTCATCTTGTACTGTAAATCTCATTTTTCACAGGTTCAAGATGTTTCTTAGGATTTTTCTCTTCTTTTTTCTCGTGGTCTTAACGAGCTGCTCAGAAACAAAGAAAGACACTCAGGATTCTCCTCCAGGTTTATTACAAGCGCTAAGATCAAAATATTTGGGTCACATTAGAGGAAAAAGAACGGTAAGTTAATTCAAACTAAACATAAATTTCTCGCCTTTGATTAGTGACTACTGTCTTTCTACGAGGTTAGTGGCTGATGGGGAATAGACATTATTTCCAGAAATGATCGTGGCTGATTTGAACGTAATTTAACGGATGCAACCACTGTCGTTGATTTAGTGGCTCTGCATTGCATCGCCTGTAAGCCACTGATAGGCTTCTCTTCGCAGTTGCTTAAATTGCAGGCATAACTGAGAAGATGATTTCTTCATTTAGTTTAATTTCACATCTGTTCTTGATGTAAATAATATTATTTAGTTACTTTAAATATTAAACATTAAAGAAACACAATACAGATTTTAGATTTTTTTCCTCTTGGACAATTAAGAAATTATCAGAGGTTTTCACTGCATTCAAAGACATGAAAAATTAAAATTGTCTCGTTTTATCATACTGAGATCTGATGAACGATTACAGCGCATCTATGTTTTACACGTAGTACAATGTCGTTGTAGTATGAATAGTGAAAAAGCACGTATAATTATAGATCTCCTCTCAATTTTTGTGTAAGCTTTCTACACAAGTTCAGTTTAGAACACTGGGTAATAGTAATATGTGCTTAATATGATTACAGGACTCAGCAGACTCTGATCCACCCGATTTAAAGGAGGCTTTGGGCAATGCTTATTTTGGACATATTCGCGGAAAACGAACGGTATGATGTAAAACAAAACGCTCACAACCCACAACCCGAGAACATTTATGACCTACACTTGATATTCAGTTTCATAGTGAAAATTGAATAATCAATTTAGCTGGTCTCTTTGAGACGATGAGCTTCTCTGGAATTTGCTTTCAATAAAGACTTTCTTTCCTAAAATCCTCCTCAATGCGTTCCTGGACGATTTGATGATCGCAATCGCCTGGACAGAACTGAAGTTGATATACAGGCCGATTTCCGTCAGTATAATCACAAAAATCGAGGCAATGGAGGCCATTTAGACGATTACAAGAAACTCTCGGTTTTATATAACGAGAAAATAACAAATTATAAAACAGTCACTACTTGCAACAGTCTTCTGCTTTACTGATACTACGAAATTTTGACGTCTAGGGAAGGTAAAATGTATATCGAACTGTTGATTGCTCAAGTACTCTCAGTAATCCATATTAAACCGTTTCATTTTCCAGGATTCAGAAGATTATCCTCCATTAGGAGAAGCACTAAACACAGCTTATTTGGGACACATCAGAGGAAAAAGAACGGTAAGAGGACCGGCCCGCTTAGGGCAATATTAAATTTTATTTTCTGAATAGCATTTTTTTCGATTATTCGTTCAGTTTTATATTTTCTCCTCTATTTAATAAAAGTCTGAAATCTGTCCCTTATTCTTATCTCCAATTTTAATTTTAGATAATTTTTTACTTATAGGGAGTGTCTATCAGAAAAATTCCGACCTCAACAAATTAAGCTAAATGCACATAAATATCAATTACATATACTGCATGAACACCAACACTTAGTAACTTCCTACAAACGTACTGCTTCAAAGCAGTCCTCCTTACTTTGGCTGCAGAGTGCGTCGTGGAGTATCCCACTCAATCATGCAGGGGGAGGGGGATACCTGTGATATGTCAAAGTATGTCACGAAAGCCTTTTCCCTTTCGATTGGAAGGATTTAAGGGATAAGAAACGAAGAGAATTTAAACAAGATTCCTCTCTTACAGCTGAAAGGTTGGGGTTTTAATCCTGCACTTCGTGAAGCTTTCAATAAACTACAGTTTTATGGCCCGCACCTTCGGGGGAAAAGGACGGTAAGAGTCGATCGGATTTGAAACGATCATCCTCCAGGAACCTTTCAGAGGATCGTTTGTTTAGCTACTAACTTACTACATCATGCACATCACCCTAAGTAAGATGTACTAGATTCCACGCTGTGCGCGGAATCCGGATTCCAGGGAATTTGGATTCGGATTCCAATGGCTTAAGGGATTTCGGATGCCTTGAGATGAATTCCAGCTTCAAAATCCCGGGATTCCGATTTCACAAGAAGAAATTTTCCCGGATCTCGGCATCCGGAACACCTTGCAATAGGCGACACAAACTAGGAGTCAGAATAGTTTATCTTTTCAATTATGATGTCTGGAGCTGGGACTGTTTTTATCCAACCTTTTGCAGGGTGGCTGGGAATCTAACAAAGATTTATTAGAGGTGTTAAACAATGCATACTCAGGCCACATTCGTGGAAAGCGACAACAGGTATAGATATCAGATTGTAACATATCGCATTATCTTTAGGAATAAATCTACCGGAGGGTCAAAGTACAAGCCACTCATCAGTGCTCGTTCAATGTTTTACAATAAACGAATATACGGAGGCTGAACATTTCTAAATTACTAATGCCTTATTGAATCAGTGCCTTATTGAAAAGAATAGCAATTATTATTTTTTGTAATTTCAAATCATTTATCTTCTTCTTTGCAGGATACATCGAAAAATTCACAATGAAGAAAACGTCGACCAAAAAAATTAAACCCATGACAGCAGGAAAAAAAATACAGTGGACCTGAAACCAGCATGATGATATCGAAAAAATACTCCTTGGAAAAGATACAGAATGAAAGAATAATTGATTTTTGTTCATGAAAATCGAGCCGTTTCCAAATCACTGCTCATTAGGAAGAAAGACGTGTCAAGAAGGCATGAAATCAAAACTTCAGAATTATCAATTAAAGAATCAAATATTCATGTAATAAAGCCTCATGAAGCAAAACTGATGTTTCTTTTTTTATTATCATTGTTTTTGTTTTGTTCCCCTGATAACGAAACAAAACAATGAAGCTTGACTTGAGGGTGAATTTCAGCTGTTTCCTCTAGCCGCAAACTCGAGGAGACAGCTGGAATAATGCAACCTACCTTCACTCAGGACGTTTGCCAAACCCACCCGTAGATAACTATCGTAACGAGGGGCGTAGCCAGGATTTTTCAAAGGGGGGGTCACAGAGGCTACTCATCAGATTGTCGTGTCGACCTCCACGCCGTGCATGTTTTACTTAATGTTACAGTTTTGGGATGCCTTTAGGTAATGATAGAAGAGAAGGGTTGTTACCTCGAACTACTGCACCAAATGATTCAACTACCCCCTTTAGATCAGAGACAGACCATATTCATGGATCTGCGCTGTATAAGTAAGTATTCATCTTGCTTGCCTGCCGCTCCATCCAAAAAATGGTATAATTGCCCATTTTTAACGGATTTTTACCCTAAAAAGGTCACCTAGAATTTTCGGACGCCTTTTTTCTGGCTGAAATTTTTGAAAAGGTAAGTTTTGATCCGTATAATTTTCAGATCGCTTAAGACTTTCAGCTAGGAAATCCGAACAGATGAAAAACTTTTAGGGGATAAAAATATGCCTATATCTACCGCTTAAATACTAAAATAAGTTCAACAATGCTATGTTTAATTGCCTTTGAACTATATTCTCGTTGGGTGCTCCTGATTATAAGACTCCAGCTATCGCGGTAGAACAAATACTAGGCACAAAATAAGTTCATTGCTTTTAATTGTTCTTAATTTTTTTTTTGAATGTAAATCGCTAGTGACGCAGATAAAGATTGAGTTTAAGAAGCTAATTGGAATGTTTACTCTAAGCAAAAGAATTGTTACCTGTGGCGGCTTATACCAAAAGGTCTAAAACGTTCTAAGGAGATAAGGAGAATGAGCTGAATTTGGTACTAAGGAAAAAAACACCGATAGATAATTTTCTTTTTGTAGATTGAGGTTCTGCTTCCTGAATTTTATTAGTTGCTCTATACCCAACGAGCCGCTTTCCCATGTTTCGTATCACAGGCAGTTTACACACCAATAACAAATGCTGGCAATAATAGAAACCTATGACATAATAAGGCATATGAAATACAGTAGAACCCCGATAACTCGAACTCGGGTAACTCGAACTCCTCTTAAACTCAAACTAAATTTCCTTTTCCATGATTAAAATTAAAGGCACTGAAATTTACCCCGATAACTCGAATTCTGGTTCTTCTAACTCCACTCCTGACCAATGCCAAAAAAACTGGTCAACACTAAAGCAACAGGGGCGGATCCAGGATTTTTTTTAGGAGGGGGTGCACTCGTCTCTTGCTCTACTTCAACACCAATAAACCACATAGGTTTTTTTTTTTTTTTCGCAGAATACCAGTTGCATAAGAAAGCCGCAGGTCATCTCACAGGGGGTGGGGGCGCACCTTCTGCACCCTCCCCCTAGATCTGCCCCTGAGCAATTTGGTTTATTTTATCTGGTGAAACGAACAAATCACGTTTTATCATAAAGATTGAAATGCCTTATCACCTTACAGTTTCTGATGAAATAAGTTAAGTTTGCACTGCACCATGCACTGGAATGCTAAAAAATCAGTAACTATCAGTTTTTAACTTGGAAAATTGAACCCGCGCTAACTCGAACTGTTTTTAGTTTCCGTTAAGAGTTCGAGTAACTGGGGTTATACTGTATAAATAACTATTAAGAGATCCGTTTTAGGCCACGAGATTAGAAAAAAAACAACGATATTTATGCGTTTCACTGTCTTAGGCCCTGTTTACATGGAGTGGGGGACCCCGGTCTGGTGGGGTAAGTTTCTTTTGTTTTGTGTCCCCCAGAGCGTGAAAACAAAAAAAAACCCCACCCCACTAGACCGGGGTCCCCCACTCCATGTAAACGGGCCCTTAGGGTGTCTTTCCACTGTCGCGTTATTTTTGCGTGCGTAGGTGCGTAAAATTTACGTTCGCAAATAAAAGAGAGGCAATGTATGAAGATCGCACGAGGCAAGAGTTGAAACTCGGTCAACTTCACGTTTAAGCACGAGGCTTCATATCTTATCTCTATTTCATTTACTCGAGCAAACGTTACCGTATCAAACTTTGCCCATCGCTCAGGTTGCATTTTTGGAAGACAATAGTGCCTTTGTTTCTCACATGCTTTTGTGTTTAGATTAGCGGTGTTAGACCTTAATCGCCGTAAGATCGGTAAATTTTCGGTGTAACATTTTCTCACTTAGTAGTGGTCTAGTGAGGCAAAAATTTTCAAGCGGAAAAAAAAACGACAAAAACAGCCACGGCTGTTTGACCAGAGAGATCGTGCATTGAATAAAGCTTTATCCATTGATGAAGCCCGTGCAAAAGGGCAACTTCGGTTAGTGTAACTGCGAACTTCAAATTTTGTTTGCGCCGAATCTGTCTAGTAATTAATATGGTCAGAGGTATCGACAAAAACGCTTACTGAAAGGCATCTCATGGTTATGTTCGAGACTTTGTCTGCTTTGTTTCTCGACTTCCATACACTTCGACAAACACGTCCATAAACAACAGCGTGACCATCTTCTAATCATGCGCCAACCTAAGTTTTGAAATCTATTTGGTTATGTAATATCATGAGTCAAGCGACTTTCGCTATTGCCATTTCCTGGTTCTAAAAACTTTCACTTTCAATACGAGGCTAAGTACGAAGCCTTTCTTGTGAAAATGAGTTTTGTTTTCATGGAAATAAAAAAAATCCTTTTTATATCAATTGCTTTGCACTCAGCGTCGCTTTGAGGCAACTCAGAAATAGCTGCTATTACTGATTCTATTTGCAATGGCTGATTAGCGTTGTCAAAACTAGTTTCATTCTATATGTACACAAGACCGTTGTAAATTCAACCCTATTTGATTCCACCAATAACGAGAAATGACTGGAATGCTGGCCTGAATTTGGAATGCGTTGCTTCAGTTTTAATTCATTAAAATCTGCTTCCCTTAACCTCCCCGTTTCTTTATAAACTTGAAACTGAAGAAAACGACATTATATGGATTTGGTTTTAAAATTTATCGGCTATGAAACTTTTATACAATTTAAATGTTTTGAAATCCTTCTCTTCTGGTTTTTTCTTATCGCTTTAACACTTTTTTATTGTTCTAACACTTGTGTTCAAAGCACCAGGCTTCTATCTTTAAGTTAACACGCTTGAGCAGTTTGTTGCTTACAAAAGCGTTGAAAATTCTTCGCATTTTTCATTAGATTGTTCATTACTGTTCAGTTGCGTTTAGTTTATTTAGTTAGAAAGACGAGTAGAAAATGAATCGTTTAAGAGTTTTCGTCATTTACAATGTAATAGTTTTAACTCTCGTCCACAACGGGCTTCCGTTAGACATGCAACGGGCGAAAAGAACGTTCTTAAAGGATTCTCTGGAACTAGATAAGCTACAACGTGCGGTCGAAATAAGTCCTTTTAAAATATGGTTGTTCAAAGAGAAATTCAAGTCCATGCAAGATATTTTGCTAACATCAGAGCTTCTGGATGAAGAAATTATCGAAAGAAAAGGAACAATAGATCGACTTCAAGATGCTATGAAGAGAGCGTTGCTAGGTCAAGATACTGGTGTTGTCGTTATGGGTGGATCAATTTCAGCGGGGGGTGGATTAATCAATGATAACCCAGATGTTAGAGGTACCTACTACCAAGTATTTATCGATTGGTGGGAAAAAACCGTGGAACCATTTACAAACTCAAAGATAAGGCTACGCAATCTCGCTATTGGTGGTACCTGTAGCGATTTCTACTTCTACTGCTTCAATACTTTTTTGCAGCCTCAAGAAACTATGGACATTGTGTTTCTTGAGTTTTCAGTAAACGATTATTTGATTTTCAAAGCATCGCAATTTCCAAAAGTGCTTTCACTTGAGAAACTTACAAGGAAGGTGCTAAGAGAACAAAACTTACCAGCCATTATTTATGTCAATTTTATTAAGGGCGTCCAGAGCACTGCACAGTGCGACAATCTTGAAAACTCTGGGCAGACAATGCTCGCGTGGCACTATGGGATTACGAGCGTAAGCTCTCGCAATGCATTATGTCCAAACGCTGAAAAACGAAAGAACCCGCTTATGTATTCATCAGATGGCAACCATCCAAGCCTTATTGCGCATGCACAAATGGCTTTGATGATAATCAATAACGTCCGCAGTGCATTATTGAGAGCCATACGTAACGCGAAACAGAATATTCTCGAAAACCATTCCTCAGAAGAGCTTCCCAGACACGTCTTCTATTCTATGGAACCATATATACCTCCTCTTTGCTATACTCTTATAACACCAGACAGATTTCACAACGTTGTAAATCCTTCGCTGTCGATCCAAGTGACTGAAAATAAGGGATTTAAACAATTTGAAATTAAAGGTATTGGTTTTTTTAAAACACCTCAGGTGAAAAATACTCAAGAACCTCAAAGAACAGACGGATTTGGAGGCTGGCAAGCAGAGAATGAAAATTCTACTTTGAAAATACGATTGATTTTACCCTGTGATGTAGGAAATTCAAATTGCACTAAGTCCGTGGTCATAGCGTTTCGTACTCACGGTTTCGGAGGGAAAGCTGAGGTGTGGTTAGACGATAACAGGCCAGGAACTGTGATAGACACGATGTCGGGTTATGGACACACACTTCTCGCAACCATTGCTGAACACGTGA